CTGGCGAGCGCCGCCGCTGCCGCCCCGCCGGGGGAGGACGGAGCGGGGGCCGGAGCCGGGGAGGAGGAGGAAGAGGAAGAGGAGGAGGCGGCGGCGGCCCCCGGGGAGCTGGGCTCCGGCTCGCCTCTACCCTACTGGACCGCGGTGTTCGAGTACGAGGCGGCGGGCGAGGACGAGCTGACCCTGCGGCTGGGCGACGTGGTGGAGGTGCTGTCCAAGGACTCGCAGGTGTCCGGCGACGAGGGATGGTGGACCGGGCAGCTGAACCAGCGGGTGGGCATTTTCCCCAGCAACTACGTGACCCCGCGCAGCGCCTTCTCCAGCCGCTGCCAGCCGGGCGGCGAGGACCCCAGTTGCTACCTGCCCATTCAGTGTAAGGCGAAAGCGGGGCCCGGGAGCCCGGCGGGGATGGCAGGGAGTGGGGTTCGAGTAGTGGAGCCTGGGGGTGGTCGCAGAGAGACGGGAGCTTTCCCCTAGAGTTAGGTTGGAGGTGGGGAATGAGTGACCTGGGGTAGGTGTGTGCGCGCGCGCTCGGACTGCAGGGGCTTTGGAGGGTGCAATGGGTAAGATAGAGACGTCGCAGGCCTTGCCTAGAACCTCAGGCGCTTGGGCTTCTTAACCTTCATCACACCACCTCAGCAGCAACTCCTGATGCCCCACCATGAAGCCCCAGCATGAGAATCTCCCCACTTCCCACTCCTCCGCCTCCCCAAACATGGATAGATTTCAGGCAAGCTGGCGGTTTGTCACAATTTTAGTCTGCAAATCAGAGACCTTGCCAGTCCCTTCTATCGCCTGTCCTCGCCCCTTAAAGGCATTTGCTTTGAAGGAGATGGGGGTGTCTCCCGCAGGGTCACAAGTCCCGAAAGCCTGTGTGAACTCGGGGTTGAGGTGTCTTTGAAATGTGTTGATTTCTTGGATCCTTGTATCTCAGAAGTTGTACCTTCAGGAGTCTTATTGAATGATATGCTAAGAAGGGTGTGTGTTGTGTGGTGGGGCAGGTGATGGGTGGAGAAATAATTAGAGAGGGAAAAGTATGTCATTCTATGAGAGATCAGGAGCACAAGGTTCAGTAGCTAAATCCTAGTCCCTTGACACCCAGGATGTTCAGACAATACACTTTCTCCTTTCTTCTCACTCTAGATCCTTACCTATATTTGGTATTTGCTAAATCTCAGGGGGACAATGCCCAGGGGTCACTCCTAGGGCCTTTCTTCCAGTGTCCTGGTTTTCACCAATTCCCAGGAGCCCCCTGTTTCACACCCTGTAATGAAATTTCCTTTGTTTTTTTCCAAAGGAGTTAAATTGCCATTAAAATTCCTTAATTAATGATGCTAGGTGGTTTCAGAAGATGTGAATAACTCCTGGTACAGTTTAACTATTTTGTGTTTGAGGGCTTCTATAATTTTGTTAAAGAAGTATTAATACATATTTATCCTTGCTTATTCCTTATTTTGTATACTTTGCATCTTAGCCGATTTTAAAAAATCATCACCGAGGGCCAACTTTAAACATTTAGTTTTGAAATTTCATTCATAAGTTATCTTCTGGTCCTGTAACTTACTTTCACCAGAACAATTGTTTTATTTTCTTAAGATATTTATTAAATGCCATCACCTAATATCAAAATCATAATCTCTTTCCTTGTTTTTCTACTTTTTTTTTAATTGGCATTTTGGCTGTCAAATTGATGTTCACATCTTTAGTTCCCTTTGTTTCACTCTCTCATTCAATTTAAAACTTTTTGTTTCTACATTTGATAGTACCTGCAGGTGACAAATTACTTTAAGTTGTTTCTAGGTGTTTCTATTTTTTTGGCACTAGTACTGGGAAGGTGAAGGTCAAAGGTCCCAGCACAGTGTCTGAAATAGTGTTGAAGATGAATTTGGTCACATATTAAAAGCAATATTGGAAGAATGGCCTGCCATGTTAGAAAACAGTGTAGTTTTAAACATATGTTAGATTTCAAGGTTCTTTGGGGGTGAAGTTTTGTGATTTTTCTTTTTCAGGGACAATTAATGACAGAGCAGAAGATCTGTGTGATGTTAATGTGCAGGGACTCAGTTTCTTTACTATCTTGTACTCCCAGCTATCAGAGCAGTCAGGAGTTATTATGACTTAGGCTGGAAGAACCCATTCACAGAAAGCCAGACATGTCCTCAATGTGCTGCATGAGAAGCTCCTTCTTCATTAGGTGCCCAGGACTTTATTGTAATAGAAATTACCTTGCAAAGAGTAGATTCCTATGTCTAGAATTCATGTGATGAGAAAGTGGGAAGTACCTTGTGCTTATTGAAAAAATTGACTTGAACATGACATTTGAAGGTCCCGGTAAGTTATTTTATTTAGCATTCCCAGGAGTTACGATCTTGACAGAAATGAAATCTTGGTAATTCAGAAAATTTAATTCCAGTCAAAAACCAATTGGAGAGCCTAGTGAAAAATACTGTATTAAATACCCAGGGATAAAGAAATAATAAGATAGGGAGGTACTTATAAGTCTCACATGAGGGAGATTGGTGATGTAAATATATAACTTCAGCACAGCGCTTTGATAAAGATGAATGCAGGAAGTTGCTGATAGGTATGCTTCTTATCTGTATGCTAATGCCCACCAGTCCAGTTAGTGTCACTCAGAAAATAAAGGTGATTGACAATCTTGTCTCCAAAGGTTTGGAATGAAGTTGAGCTACTGACAACTTTTCCTTAGTTATCCTTTTGAACTTCCCTTCTGGGGCATGATCTGTGACATTAGATTGTGAACAGAAGACACTAAGTCAAGTAATAATGTTTTGCTTTAGTTTTAAATATGGCTTTTCAAAGTGAAAAATTTGTTTCAAACGTTATTCAAAATAGAAGACGGAAGAATTACTAAATCTGGTGACAATGAAAAAATATAATGGTGATATTATAAATCACCTAACATTTATATAGTGCTTTTATCTCCTCCAATGTAGACATTAGAGCACAGCTCTCTGTGGGGCTGACAAATATAAATAACCTAGGAGCTCTCTCATCTTCCTTATTTTAGTGAAAGATGAAAAATACACTGTTCCAAATTTATCATTTTGGGAGATAGATTATCCTAGGTATTTTTTAAAAGTTTCTCTTACAGGATTGTGGTGTCTGTCTTCAAGCAGGGCACAAATTAAGGTTATTGCTAATTTACATTTATTTTTCTTGTACCCATTAGAAACATGAGGATGTATTCTCGTGTACTTCACATTTTTAAATGAGAAGTGTACCATTTATTGACTTGCCCAAAAGCCACTAGAGTGTGCCTATACATTTAATTTCTAAGGATAAAATTGAGAGGGAATAACATCTTGACTCTGAATATGAAAGAAAAACGGTTTTTGTTCCTGAGATTCCTGAAAATGTCCTTCCACAGAAACTGAAAAATGTGATGAATGTGACTTGACCTGATTACTTAAAACCAGGTCTTTACTGAAGCAGGGAGGGAAGGAGAGCCCCACATCCTCTCAGCTGCCACTGAAGGTCTAGTTCCTACCCCAAGAGAATTCTTAGCAGAGAAGGGAAAAGAAAGTAGCTTCCTCCCTTGTCCCCACCCCCCACTGTTCTATCTTCTATCTGCTTGTAAGCTGGGTTCTACACTTTTCCTGAAGGCTGGTCATAATATTTTCTTAACTAAATGTCTAGAACCTGAGAGAGATTATTGCTTTGTCTTCACTGCAGAGGTTTTCTGTCTAGGTTTTCTGACTGCAAAATGCCATCAGAGGAGCTGTCCTTTCAGCACCTTAGTTCAGAAACACATCTTTTAAATCTTCATACACTTAAATAAATATTTAACACCTTTTAACACCTCCTGTGTGTTCACAACTATGCTTCAGACCAGAGGAAAGAAGGCAGGGTACAAAAGAAAATACAACAGTTAATTCTCTTGAGGAGAATTTAGACATTCAGTTAAGGGAATAAGATGTGTGAATGCAAATTTATTAAATAAGTACACATTTTTTCATCACTGTAAAAGCTGGAAGAAAAAAATGAATGTTCCTTCCCCCCATGATCAAGGGGACTCCTAACATAACTTATATTTTTCTCCAAGAGGATTTCTGATCTCTCTTTAATATAGGTATATTTTTCTTATTCATGTAGATAAGATAAGGCAATAATTAGTAATCAGTCGGGTTTTATTTTAGGACCTAGAAACACTCGAATTGTTTTAATCAGAAAGTGCTCTATCACAGGAAATTAGGTGTTTACAGAATTATTGGAAGCACAGAGAGAAGGGGCTCTCAGCTGGACCTAGGGGAAAACTTCTAGAACATTGTGGACCTGGCCCACCAGGCAAGCTGCTGCTTCTCTGTTTGGGAAGGTACAGAATCAGGAGTTGTCACTGAAGCTGCTGACTTCAAGAACACCCAGTTGTAGTTACAGTCCAGAGATTAGGCAACCACTTGGCCTTGCAACATTCTTCTCCACATCCACAGAATGGTTGGATACTGATGTGCTATTGCAGAAAACCTCACTTCTCCACAGCAGTGCTTGCCAGGAGAGCAAAAAAATGGTCTCCATTTCACTTCTGCCTTCCAAATCTTGTGCATCTCATCAGCAGAATCTAATCTGCATCCAGAACTCCAACTGTCAGGGAGTCTGGGAAATGTAGTTTTTAGCTTTCCGGTCTCTGCAGTACTGAAAGACATGCTAGAAGGATTTTAGAATGGATGCAGATTGCTAGTCTGCAGGACCTGCCACACCATTCGTTCAGGAAGAGTGCAGGATGAGGTGATAAGCTTGAACAATTAGAACTTTTGGGGTCAAGATAGGCTATACTTTTTGTATACATAAGGACAGTCCAGCTAACTTTTCCTAAGAGTTTCCTTTGTGCACACTGCCAGTGGCATTGCAAAACGTAAATGAATATTAGCCCTAAATAGGATAGAAGCACTGTCACTAAGCAAGACCAGAGTTTGGAGCACAACTAGCTTCTGAGTGGAGAGTGGAGGCATCGTGGGGCTGGCCATGTAAGGAAGGGAACAGCAGTAGGCAGTTCCTCTTTTGGTGTTGTCAAAAGCTCAGAAATATATTTTTGTTTTCTTAATTTTTTAACAAAGTTTTTTTTTTTAAGCAGAAATACTATTTTCTGTATTTGTTTTAGAAGGTACAATTTAATTTTTTTTCACATCTAAGTTTGGTTTATTTCCTATTGAGATAGAGTTTTTCCCTGTTTTACTTCACCTGTTGAATATTTGGCATGGCGAGTATGGCAGGTAAAAAAGACAGATAGAATCCACCCTTGTGGGTCTTATAATCTAGCAGCGTGACAGGCATTGAACAAGTAATTATAACCTTGTTGAGTCTTGCCAAATAGAGACTGCTACGCAAGTGTTTGGTGGTGGCCTGACCTCATTT